TGGTCCATAGCTACAGGCGCCACAAAAATTCTAAATAAGGATGACAAAATTTGTGAGACTCAAGCATTATCTGCCAGGGAATTTCCAAGTTTCCTCCTGGGCCAAAAAATAATTCACACTCAACGAACAAAGAGACTAGAAGGAGAAAGGACCAGTTAGTTGAAAATAATTGAGAAATTAAGGGAGGAAAATTTCACAAAAAGTCACGGGCATGTGATACCCTGGGGAGCTGTCTGTGGGCGCTGGAATTTTCTTTTCTTCTTCCCTCCACACCCCCACCACTTTGACAGTGATGAAGGTGGAACCCAGGCCTCATGCATGCTAAGCAAGCACTGTATCACTGAGCAACGCCCCCAGCCTTCCTAGAGTTCCTTCTGCTCTGCTAGGGCTGGCTGGTTCCTGCTTCTCAGAATGAGGGCTGCAGCCATCTGAGCGGACTCAGGGCTCTATCTCCTCCAGGCCATCTGGGCACCGGTTGGTGATAGGATCGCTGAGTGAGACCTGACTCAGGGTCTCTGGCTCTACCGATGGACTCAGCTGTACCCAGATACTAGTGCCTGTGACTCCAACCCTTCTGTTACACCCCGGGGAGTGAGATTAAATATAGCATTGATACAGGGTATACACAGGGCTGTTTCTGGCAGGGGGTGAAGGGCCTGCCTCTTCCATTGGAGGATCAAGGCAACATGGCCACTGTTCAGGACTGTCCATCAGAACTCACCAAAGTTGACCATGGGCAAGGATGAGAACATCACACCGGCCTCCTCAGACCGAGGGGCACCCAGTCATTCGGATGCATATCAGTGAACCACATTTCTATAGATATGTTTATAATGACTCCTAGATTATTAAAGTAAGTACAGACATCTAAAAATTCTGGGCATTATATATAAAAACAAATATCAGAAGACTTGGAAAGATGGGAAGAAGAAAGCAGACAGGCCAGGGAACTGAGGAATGGCACCTTGGTAAGTTGCTTGAATGGCTTCACCCATCTCAGACCTGGAGCTAAAGAGATAAGAAACTGAGCGATATCATGACGAACAGGCAGATAATAACAAAACATGCCCCCATAAAAACCTTCCTCATTATAGCCAGGGGACCAGGAAAGGATAGTCTAGCAACACAGAACACTTCAGGGTACAACTGCTTTCCTTCATGCCAAAGCCCCAGGCAAAGCTATGGCTTCATCTTGCACTCCAGTGAAGACTCATGACAGGGTATAGCCTCTCCCCGATTTGTGACAAGCACCCCCCACCATCACACTGGTATGAGAGTGACTAAGTGAGGAGAGGTGGGATTTTCATCCTAGTGCTTGGTAATGGGCACCTCTCTGTGTGTCTGGAGACTGCTTGGAGAGTGCACAAGCCCCACTCAGCAGAAAGGGGTGCCCCTACCTGTCTGTGCTAAGATGGTGTCAAAGGCAGCCTAATGAGAGTCCCCAGTGGTGACAGCTCCTGGCTCCACAGTGTGAGTGGAGAGTCAGTGGAGAGCTGAACCCTTACCCCTTCCCAGTAGCTTCGAGGAACCCCTTTAAGTATCAGGGATGGTCCTAACACTGAGGAATATAGCCTTCTACCCCAAGGTCTGGCCCCCATCCAGCCAACGATGACTGACAAAAGCAACATTAGAGAAGACCAAGCAGAATTAAATCCACAGTCTCAGGATAATACCCAGTGTCCAGGTCTCAACTGAACATCACTTGTCATACCAAAAACTAGAAAGATCCCAAGTTAGAAGACAGTAGATGCCATTTATCTAGATGGTGGATGTTTTTAAATTATCCAAGAAAAATTTTAAAGCAGCCATTTAAAAAAAAAAACTTAAAAGAATGACTACAATACATTGAAACATGAAAAAAAATAGGTCTTGGCAAAGTAATAGAAGATAAGAGAAAGAACCAAATGGAAACTTACAAGTTAAATTAAAAACTCAATGAATAGGCCCTATGCTAAGTTAGAAGGACAAAGGAAAGAGAATGAGAGAGAGCACAGTAGAAATTACTCGATACAAAAAAACAGAGAAAAATAAGACTAGAGAGGAAGTAATTAAGTTTCAGGGGCCTGGGCACAATGACAAAAAGTCTAACATCCATGTCACTGGAATCCCAAACATAGAGGGAAAGAGACAAAAATCATTTAATAATGGCTGAAACTCTTCCTGCATTGCTGATGAGATGGCAAAATGATACAGTGACTCTAGAAAACCTTTTGAGAGTTAAAAAAAAAAAAATGCAGCTACTTTAGGATCAAGCAAAGGCAAGGCTGGGCATTAATCCCAGGGAAGTGAAAGCCCATTCATACAAAAGCCAGAGCCACTTGATAATAATAACCCCGAACCAAAAACAGCCCAGGTACCCTCCCACACGTGAGTGGCTAAATAACTGTGGTACATCCATGAGTGGAATACCACTCAGCAACCAAAAGGAACACAACCCTTGTTATACCCCCCAGCCAGGATGGATCTCCAGGGAATCATACAGAATTTAAAAAGCCAATCTCAAAAATGTAAGATCCCACTTATTACAACATCCCCAAAGTGGCAAATCATAGAAATGGAGAATGGGTGAGTGGGTGCCAGGAGGTGAGGGTGGGGTGGGTTGAGATGGAAGTGGGTGCAGCTGTAAGAGACCAAGAGGAAGGTCTTGTGCTGAGAATGTCCTGTATCGTGACTGTGTCGGCGTAGGCATCCTGATGTGGTTTTTACAAGATTTTACTATGAGGAGAAGCTGGGTAAAAGTCACAAGGATCTCTCTGTATGATTTCTTAAAATGCATGTGAATCCATAATTGCCTCTCAATAAAAAAAGTTTAATTAAGAAATCAAGGTCATCTAGAAAAAATAAATAAAACATAAAAGAAAAACTCCACAGCTCATCTCCCAGAGATAGCCCCTGTTAGCATTTTAGTGGCTAAATCTGTATCCTCCCAGATTTTTCTACGTATGTAAATACTTGCCTTAAATGACACCACACTTCCATCAACAAGAGTGAACTTTGTTGCTACAGCCTTAATTACACCATGTTCAGTTTTTGCCATGCTAAATATCACTGTGCTTAAATTCCTACATACATCTTTGATCATTTCCTTTGGATTCATTACCACGGGTAGAATTGCAAAATTCAGTGGTTGCATATTTTAGAGGCTTTTGAAGAAAATTGTCAAACTTCTCTCCAAAAAGCTCTTATTAATTTCCACTTCTAATATACATTGGGTTTTAAAGTTGCCATTTTTGGTGGGAACTAAAATATGACTACACGTGTGTTCCTCACTTAACCATTTTAATTCCCTGTCACTAAATGGAAAGCTTTTCCACGAAACTAATTTTAGTGGAAAAGAAATAATATATTTTACCTCAGCCCAAGATATCCCCAGAATTTCACAGATAAAAATTTATCAAGCAGACATTGAAATTGAGTATAAGAGAGGAAGGTTACAGGCAGCTGAGTTAGTTTAAAATATTATGGGCAGTCAGATAAGACTGGGCTCTTGAAGGAGCCAATGCAGAAGACCAGATACCTTGCAATTTGGAAGGAGGTAGACACCTCTGCTGTGGGACAGATCTCAAGACAAAAGGTAAAACAAATGTAAGGAGATCCTAGGTATAAACATCAGAGATTGATATTCTAAATAGGTTAGATCACCTTGAGGAAGCCAGGAGTCTCTGTCCCAACCCCCTACTGAGTACGCCCTCTTTCTACTCCCATTTGTCCAATTTAGTCATTTTTACTTGAATAGTTGATCTTATTAGTTGACTATGGTTCTGTCCCACCCCATGCCCGCCTGCCTTTCCAGTTCCCATTTTTCCCCATCCAGACCCACTTCACCTTATGGTTTTGCTCTATAAAAGTCTCTAGAAGAGCCAAAGTCTTTGGCAACTCACTCAGGACCCCTTCTGTCTCTCTCTTAGACAGAAGCTTTCTTTCTCTCGATAAATATATTCTGAAAGAAAGAGAGAAAAAAAGAAAGAAAAAAAGAAAGAAAGAAATTGAGAGATAAGCACTAGCAATGAATAAGCACAGTTTGTTTATAAAATGCACTGACCGAGATAGATCAGAAAGGAAATATGGACTGATTCTTGGAAAGATAACATCTTTTTGCCAGTTTCTTCACCATTTTACAACTTCTGAAGGGCACATGGCAACCTTCTTCCAGCTGCGCTGCCAGTGAAGTAATGGCAAAGAAACTACCCAGAGGGTGACATGGAAATTGATTCTAAGCAAGACAGAGCCTCATGCATAGGCCGGAAGTCCTGAGATGCCCCTCTGTTCCTCCTTCACCTGCCATCCATCCACACATCCAGATATTGAGTTCGGCCCTCAATTTCCATGTGTTCCATGTGCTGTGCTGTGCTCTGCCTAGAAAGTATTGTCAAGTAACTGGAAGCCCTGTTTTTGCCTAAAGCCAGCATGTTAAAGATCACTTCTGCATTAGTTTGCTGGGGCTGGCTTAACCAACTGTCACCAAGTGACTAAAACAGTACAAGTTCATTTCCCACAATCCCAGGTGCTAAAGTCCAAGACCAAGATGTCAGCAGAGCTGTTTCTTCTGAGGCCTTTCTTCTTAGGTTGCTGATGGCCACTCTTCTGTCCTCTCATGAGCCCTTCTCTCTGTGCACAGCAGCTTTGGTGTCTCTCTGTATCCAAATTTCCTCTTGTTATAAGATCACCAGTTAGTTGGATTTGGGCCCTCCTTGACAACCTCAGTTTAGCCTGAGGATATAACTGGTGGCTGGGGCAGAGGTTGGAGGGTTCTCCGCATCTTCTGTTGTTCCACATGCCTAGATTCGTGAATCTTCTAATAAGTGAATAAAATACTGATTTTCAAGTGAAGAACCTGTCTGACTCTTTATCAACCGAGCCTAATACATAGAAAGTTCTCAAGCATTTATGGAAGAATGAATAAATGGACATGACAATGACTTCCTGCCATAGTGTTCAGGTACAGAGACCCTTTCAGCCATGCAATGACCTCCTCTCTGCCTTTCTCCTTCCATTTGCAGACGGCAGCAGAGACCTCCAGGAGGGAACAAGCCCCAGCAGCACGGTGACCACCAACCAGGCAGTGCCAAACATAACAGGGACCATCAGAAGTCCTACCAAGGGGGCCCAGTGCCTCATGCCTCAGGGAGGCCCACCCACCACGGCTACAGCCAAAACCGGCGCTGGCACCACAGCAATATGAAGCACCCGCCAGGCGACAAGGGGGAGGCAGGTGCCCACCGCAATGCCAAAGAGATCGTGAACACCGAGAGCCCCAAATTAGAAGACACCCCAGAGGACCCCGGCCACTGTGGCCTTGAGCCTCCTCACAGCCCTGAAGCCCCAGCCCCACCAGCATCTGAGAGGCTACCTACACCAGTGCCAGGGGGGCCGGAGGCCGAGACAAAGCGCAAAGACAGTATTATTCCAGAACGCATCGGGGAGCGGCCCAAAATTACCCTGCTCCAGTCCTCCAAAGACAGGCTGCAGCGAAGGCTAAAAGAAAAGGTACCGGTAATTGAATTTTTGTTGTTCTCTTCCACCCGGGAGGACAGCCGAGAGGTAGGCACCTTGGTCGGAGGGCTCGGGTGGGTTGGAGGGTCAGAGGAGCTGTGAAGGGGAAGCAAGAGGCTCCCTTGGCCATGTGGACCCACTGTACCAAGCCACCATTACTGTGGGTGCCACTGGGCCACCACAGAACAGCCAATTGAGCCCTTCTAACACATGCCAGCTTTTCACCTTTGCCCCCTAAGTGGTCTAAGATGGGTTCTTGGTACCAGCCATCAGCCTGAGAGGGAGGCAAAGTTGGGAGGAAGAGGCCTGTGCCTGGGGTGATGACAGAGGGTGATGGGAGCGTTTTCTGGGGGTCAGCTCCTGCTCTCTGCATGCTGAGTTTGCATTTGGCAAAATGTGGAGAAGGATTCTGCCTCCCACAGGTCCCATGCGTGACCTGTTTGCTGCTGGGATGGGAATGAGGGTGAGGTGGGGGCGGAGTGGGAGCAGGTGGCCTCAGCCTTCATGTTCCTCACTTCATCTCCTGACAACCAGTGAGGTCGCAAAGGCACAAATGGCAGGGGACTCCACCAGCACCACCCCGGTGCTAGCTGCACTGGTGTGACCCTGAAAGTTGAGGCACCTCTACCTGCTGCCCAAAGCCTGTCCTGCCTCCCTCTGGTCTCTGGAGCCAAGCTACCAGGAAAGGAATGGGATCTGTCACTGGCAGCAGCAGACTCACGTGATTTCTCCAGTACCACCAACCCAGCTCCGCTGCCCACCAAGGACATTCGCAAGGTCACCTGGAAAGGAACCATTCCCAGGAAGGCTGGCATGGCTGGGCTGCGGCCATGCCTACATAGCACACAGAGCTGAGGAGTCCTCCCTCTGGGGCGTCCTCAGAGCTTGGGGTTCTGGGCTTCTCCTCCTTCCCCAGAGGCTAGGCCCAAGACCAACCTCAGTCAGACTAAGGCAAGGTGCGCTCTTCCTAGATCAGTTAGCAAAGCCAAAATGCCTCAGCCGTGTCCCCCACACCCTGCTCCTCCCTGTGGTGACAGGGCTGTGAGGTCGGGAGGAAAGCCTCTTTCACATCCTGCCATCCCACAAATGGACAACTGGCAGAGCCTCCTGGCTGATGGCTAGAGTGCGCCACAGACCAGTTGGCTTCCCATACCCATTTCTAGAGGCTGGCTGAGAAGGAGGGCTGCTGACTGAGTTCTCCAGAGTCCTGCCAGATGTAATGCAGGGCAGCACAGTGGAAATGCACAGGTTTTAAGTGTCAGCAGGTCAGACTCAGTCCTCATTCTGCCTTTGGGTGGATGACAGTCACCTAAAGTCTCTGAACTCCAGTGTACTCAGCTGTAAAATGGGAGCGCTACCACTCACCTTACAGAGGTGATGTGAAAATTAAATGAAGTGACATGTGTAGAGATCCTTAGTCTATCCACAGACCACTGGTCCAGCCAGGGGACCCAAGTGGTTGGGATACAGGGATGTGGAGGGTTGAAACAGAAAAGGAAAATCTGTAGCACACTTAGATTGGTTCTGAGGACTTGTCTCAGGTGAGGCCTCCTGGGCCAGAGAACATGGGCTTAGGCTCATTCAGAATCATTCCATGTTTCTGGTCATCCCCCAAATTGAGCAAACCTTGGGCAGACAAGCCTCTAATCCCCTCCTAAATGAGGATCTCATCAAGAAGAGTAAGCCTTCTCTACTCCCTCACAGACATGGTTAAGGGTAGGGGCCCATGAGAATAGAGAGTTGTATCTTCCTGATCGCAGGGAGTCAGAGCTCTCAGGTGGACTGGAGAGGCCAAGGGGAAGGAGCACCTCCCAGAAGTCTACCCTCACATAGGATTCCTTCTCAAATGGAGACCAGCTGCCCTTGGAACTTGACTCCAAGTAGTAGAACTCAAGGAAAGCTCTCGATCTCTGTTACCACCATGTTACTCCCATGCAAACAGCCTCAGAGGGAAACTGCCTATGCAGAGGATGTGGCCGGAGCAGCCAGTAGGAAACAGGGCCTCATTCTGCACCACTCCGTCCAGAAGTCTGGTGTTGAGAGCACAGGGCAAGAGCAGGAGGACCTCATCCTGTGACCCTGATCCTGCCCGTACCAGACCTCATTCCCCAGCGGAAAGTCAGTCAGATTCTTGGCCACCAATGTGCATGTTTGAATACATATTTCTGAGACAGCCAAATGCCATTTTCTTCCTTTCCGGCCCTTGATCTGGTCCAAGTTACGGTGAAACTTCAAGGAGGGTAGGCTTCTTTCCTGACACGTCCCTTCTAGAGGCTTCAGCCACTCAAGTGGCACATCGGAAGATCCCTCGGATTATAGTAGTTATATGTAAAGGTCTCCATGAGATGTGAAACCAGGGCTGTGCCCTTGTAGAACCTTATGCCCAGAAAACAGAGGATATGGAAGACACACAGTGGTCTCCTCAGGCCACCCCTAACCAACACTGAAGGCATTTTGGGCTCTACTCACCTAGTTGGCCTGGTTTCCCTGTCTGTATCTTCCCTTTGGCCCAATTTCTTATTTGTTACCTTATTTCATCTTTAATAAGCTCTATTAAATCAGTACTAGATTAAGACATCTAGTCTATGTGTAGACAAATTTAGGAAATCGATGAGAATCCTGTGTGGGAGCTAGAACTCACAAGAAATGTCAACCCAGGACCTCACAGAGGCCCAGAGAAAAGTCAGCCTTTGGGATATGAGTATCTTTGATGTGGGGAGGCAGATTTCAGATCCTTTGTTCTGAGGGTGGCAGCCTCCTTCCCCTAGGCCACTTGCACACCCCGACACCCCAGCTGCACTCAGGCATACTTGGTTTGTTCCCCATCCCTCAGGATGAAGTGATGGTGGAGACAACCCACCCTCAGCAGAACAAGATGGACAAGCTAATCGAGATCCTGAACAGCATGCGGAATAACAGCAGCGACGTGGACACCAAGCTCACCACCTTCATGGAGGAGGCCCAGAACTCTACCAACTCTGAGGAGATGCTGGGTGAGATTGTACGGACCATCTACCAGAAGGCCGTGTCAGACCGTAGCTTTGCCTTTACAGCTGCCAAGCTCTGTGACAAGATGGCACTCTTCATGGTGGAGGGCACCAAGTTCCGGAGCCTGCTCCTCAACATGCTCCAGGTAACCGGACACCGACAGCTGCTGCCCATGCTCACTGCCCCTGCGTGAAGGTTATTGCTAGTGGGGAGGGCTGCAAGTTCTGACCACCACTGAACTTGTCCTGAGTTCCTTCCTCCCTTGCCCAACTAATTATAGAAAATAAGAAAGCAGTCAAGGGGTGAGGGGTAAGTGGCTGGATTTGTGTGTTTGTGTGAGTGCTCCATGGTTACAGAGGACCAATATAATTTTATAGGTGCTTTTTGTTCAACCAGCCTTTCCCTCTTTCTATTTTCATGATAAGCGGGGTGGTTGTTGGCTCTGTGCTTTGACCTCTGAACGTCTGAGCAGACACAAACTTGTTGTGCAAGTACCTCTCTCTTCCTCCTCCTCCCCTCCAGGACCAGCCCCTCCAAGCTTGGTGGCAATTGGTATAGCTGGGACTGAGATGGATTTTGATTAAAGCTTTATAGGACAGTCTGTCTACCGAGACACAGAAGGAAAAACAGAAATCAAAAATTGTCTTGCTCCTTGGTACTTCCCACTGACTAACCCTTTACTGCAGTGAGTTGAGGCCTAGTCCTTCTCATTTCTGCCTCCATGGGGCCAGTGTCCACCTGTAGTCCCAAGGGTATACATAGAAGGGATGTGAGTGTGCACCTAGGCTGAGCCCAGCACTGTCTCTTGTTGTGGGAAGCTGTACATAAACTGGTGGCCTCTGAACTGGTAGCATCAGGGACAAATGGCAGGGAACATGGCCGTGTATCCACACCAGGTCTGAGAGCCATCCATTGAGACTGAGCTGGGGGAAAGCCCTCTTTCCTATTACTTTGTGCTTGAGAAACTAGTTAAGATATACATGGAGCTGCTGGTCCAGATCAGGAAAAGAGTTGGGAAAGCCGTATGACAGAGCTGAAGGAACCACTTGCAGGTCTGTGGTAACTAGAATGACCATTCATCAGATTGTGCAGACTGCCACTCTTCTGATAGCCAACAGGACTCCATTCAGAATTACACCTAAACAACAGGTGTACACAAAGATCCATGGCCACCCTCATTTCAGCCACCCAGCTCGTAGTTTGTTGTCTCTTCCCTAAAAGTGAGAGGAGGAGGAGGAGGTCACTGTGGGCCATCTGCCTGTGGCTGCACCACCCATGCCTGCCTGTCCTCCCCTCTTCCATGTGTATCTCGCTCAGTGCAACCTGAGCCCTTTCTGGCCAGCCCAGGCTGCTTCTCTCCAGATCCGGGCCCTGATCAGGTTCCCATTCCTGGATCGCCCACACTCCCCTGGTGATGAATTCCTGCATTACCTGAGGGATTTGCACATTGGGCATGTTCCTCGTGGACCGGAATGTCCTGGGAGAGCATAGAGGGTGACAGGCAGGGAAAGGCCTGCCTGCCATGTTCCACCAAGCATGTAGGAGTCAGGGATAGGAACTGGCCTTGGACTTGGGTTTGGGATTTTTCTTTTCACTGAAGGGCCAGAATGGTACAAGAATTCTAGACTATGGCTGTCAGCTCCAAGTAGCCCAGCCAGCCCCTGTGGCAGACAGACACAGAGAATATGGGGCACCCAAGGAAGACAGCTGGTTATAGGGGCCACCCCAAATCGGGCATGTGTTCTAGCCATCCATGATAAGAGCAGCCTTTCCCACAAGTGTCCAGCCAAACATCATGCCTGCAGCACCCACCCTCTGTCCCAGCCTCTGCTTCCCTACAACCACAAATTTCAGGCAGCTCGAGACTGAGGATTTTGGGGATGAGAGACAGTCCACAAATGCAGCTCTGTCCCTCAGTGAGGAAACATTGGGACTTCACTCAGTGACACGGGAGCACACGGTGATAAACAGATGCCTGCAGTCATTGCCACCTCCACAAGGCTCTGAGATGAGGGATCACCTCTGGCTTGTGCATCTCTCTAGCCGTGGGTCTTCCTGGCTTCTGGGTGGCCCCTGTGGCCATGGAGACATAGGTGCTACTGGGGGAAGGTAGTAGAATCCTCCCTTTCTCCTCTCACTGGCCAAAGGCTGGGGACAGCTGTAGTCCTAGGCAAAAAGGGAAACCCTGGAGGCCCATGTTCTGAGTGGCAGAGTCCCCGCAGTGGTAGAAGTAGTTACCATATTTGTGGCTTACCTTTAGGCCACCACTTGCCCCCTTTCACCACCCACAGCCCATCTTTCATCTAAGCCACTGATCAAGGCCTTTCTAGCTGCCACAGGCAGCCTTTGACTGTGTGGAATAAGGCTGCCCTGAGCCCTGGTCACATGCCCAGAGGAAGCCAGACTGCACACCTGGGCCACCTTGGCCCTGCCATCCCTCTTTGCGGCCACGGAGTCGGCAATTTGCTGCAGAGCTTTCTGGCACCCTTAAGCATGGCCACTCTCTCCCCACACCTGGGAGGTTCGGGGAGTAAAGCAGCAGGCACAGCACATCAACCACTTCCCTCTTAACACCCGCGGAGTCATCATCTTTCCTCGGTACACATGTTGTGACAACCTCATACACAATCTTCTCCTGGCAGACAGCGCTAGGCCTGGCCCACAGCAGACTTCCCTCCCTTCTCTCTGAGGTTTTCGTTCAGTCCCATCCACTGAGCCCACTTGGATCCAGATCTCCAGCCAGCCCCAAACCATTCAGCAGCCCCTGGGATGCCCCTTATGTGGCCGGTTTTGGCTGCCACCTCCACATGGACACAAGTTCTGAAACCAGGCTTAGTGACGCTGGCTGCAAAGCGGGCAGGGTGTGAAGTGCCCATGAGCCCTGCTCCCAGCAGCTGTCTTTGGACGCAGCCCTGCCTGGTCAACTGCTCTTGCTTCCTGGGCTTCGGCAGTGGGAGCTGACAGCATGGAGAGGAGGGGCGTCCTCTGATGTGATAGACTCCATGCAGCAAAGGCCTTGGGACTGCCTGCCTGCCAAGCTGGGGCGTAGCCCTATGGAGTGCCCTATGGGGGTGAAGAAGGTCAAAGGTCTTTTGACCCTTCCCAGTGAGATTCACCATCACATCCCCAGGAATGCAGAAGCACTGCACTGCTAAGCTATGAGAGCACCTAAGACCCTGGGGTCTCAGCGGACACTTGATACCAATCCTACAGCTCAAAAACAGTCTCCAGTGTTTACACCCAGACTGACTCTCTTGCTTTAGATGTGACTTTTTTCTTAATAGTGTCTTTGTAGATAAAATTCAATTTACACACCCTTAAATGTCTATTACATGTCAAACATGTAGTCAGACTTGAACATATGAACATAGAATGTTGTGAAAATGCAAATTCTAACACAGGTATGGGATGAGATCCTTCATTTCTAACAAGCTCACAGGTAGTACAGGTGCCAGGGACCACACTTTGAGCAGCAAAGTATTGGGGGACCAATGGCTTATAGGTGATAGGTCAGTTTCGCACACAAACTGAGCCCCAGTCTCTTTCCAATGTGACTGTCCACAGTGAGGATCCAGCCTGAAAATATTGCATTTCAGATACTAGATCATCTTTAGGTCAGTGGTTTTCAGCCATTGTCCACTAGAATCACATGAAAAACTTTTTTTTTTTTTTATTAGTACCAGGGATCAAACTCACAACTGCCTGCTTGCAAGGCAGAAACTTATGCCGCTGAGCTAAATCCCCAGCCCCCGCATGAAAAACTTTTAAAACAACCAGCCCAGAGGTCTTGCCCCCAAATCAGTCAAAATTAGGTTCTCCATCAGTAAGGCCTATTTTATCATTTTATGAAGAGCTCCACAGGTACAGCCAAAGTTGAACATCTCCTCTTGGGAGATAGCTCAAAGATACCACCATTGTCACCATTGTCACTTATGCTGGCTCTGCCTGAGACACCATAAACCAATCAAAAACTACCTGTCAGGAGCTGGACTTGTTGCTGCATGATGTGGCGCACTCAGAGCCTGAGCTCATAGGAGAACAGGAGAGAGAAACTGTAGCTGCCTTCACCTCCTTCAGCCTCAGTTTCCCTTCTGTGCAGCAAAAGAGCTTGATGTGACCATCATAGGGACCGTTCTCATACTTCCTCACCATTATCTTGAGATTACTTGCCCAGGAGGGAAGGGTTGCCTTTTCTCTCCTGCTGGCCCAATCTCTGTGTCCTCATCTCCTTTCTCTACTGTGTCCTCTTTCTGGCCTCAGCTATCTATTGGGATTGCCATCACATGTTTTAGGAAAAGGACCTCACTGTCAGCCACACTGCCAGGCTGAGCCAGAGACTTAACCATCCAGCAAAGCTGGAGAAGTGATCCACTTTCGCCTCAGCTGGCCTCACCCCATCCCTTCCCTCAGAGGCTCCCAGCTTTTGTTTGCAGGGTTCTCTACTAATTAGGTTGTGTGCATTGATTGTTTCCAACTTCCAGGAGACTGTGGACTACTCTGGGCAAAAGTAACCAAAAGTCTCCCTTGATCCTCATCAGGGAATTGCCTTGCGATCCTGGGGAGGAGGAGGGCTCCAGTTTCACCGAGAAGTAAAGAATGAGTGCGCCTCTTTTTATGGGATCTTTGGAATGTTAAGAATTGGAGGCCTGAGCCCCCTCCACCCGGCACTGCCCAGTCACCGCCCCAGGCCTTCCACTTGGGCTCTGGGAGTGCTCCTTTGCTGAGATATGCTTGGGTAGTACAAGTTCAAGCCCTCCTGTGTTGAAATGTGTGTGCCCTGTTTAGCCAAGAGGTGTCTGCATCTGAGTTATGCGGAGCAAAGTATTATTAGAGCAGGCATCAGTGTGTCTGTAACTGAACCCAGCTCTCCCTAGCAACTGTTGCTAACAACACATCTAACAGAAGGATGCAATACCTTTTTTTGAAGAAAACAAAAAAAGAATTTCATCTTGACCAAGTTGTAAACACAGCAGGCCTGGTGTGAAAAGACAACACAAAATCAGAATCTGGCATGTGAGCAGACTTCAAAATAAATTGCTCTCTGCCAGTACCTTCTAGAAGATAGTCTCTTAAAAAGCTGACCTCCAGCTAAAGAATGGACAAACTCTTAAGAGTTTCTGGCAGACCACCATGAAGCACTGTGTT